GTTCTTCTTCTTCTTTTTTTTTTAAGTAGTCTCCATGCCCAATGCGGGGCTTGAACTCATGACCCTGAGATCAAGCAAGACCTGTGCTGAGATCAAGTCGGACGCTTCACTGACTGAGCCACCCAGGGGCCTCAAGTTCTTTTAATCATTACAACCACCACTCTATCCATTCTAAGAATAAGGAAAGTAAAGCACAGAGAGGCCAAGTAACCTGCCCAAGTCCAAAAGCTAACAAACGGAAGAGTTGGAACTTGATTCCAAGCAGACAGACCCCAGAAAGGCTATTCCCAACCATATGCCAATCACATCATGGCAGCATATCAAGCTACAACTTGGGCCGGACAGCTATGAGGGATAGGGATGCCTGCTGAGTGGGGTCAGGGCCTCCAAGGCGAGGCTTCTGTTTTCCCCTTTCTGTGACTATCCCTAAGTCACCTCATCAACTCACTGAAGAGGCTTTAGAAACAAAGCAATCCCTCAAAATTCTAGATCTTCTGGGTAGAGGTTTAAAAGGCATCAAAAGGACCCTTGCACAGACTCAGGAAACAGACCTCAGAGGACCAACCCAGGTGGGGTGGCCCAGAATGTGGCTCCCAGAGAGCCTCCCTCCGTGCCAAGCACAGGGTCTCACCCCTGGGCACACCTGCTTTTTATGCCTGGGACATCAGCGTGGGGCACAAACTCAGGAGCAAACACGAATGCAGAGAGTCCTGCGAGTGGGGACTCACATGACCTGTACTGGCAAGGCGGCCAAAACAGGATGGACCCTGGCAGGGACCCCAGAGAGGTACCCGGAGCTTCACGACATTCAGAGGAGCTGACACTGGGGCCTCATGTAAATGTAAACCATATTTATAAAGCCAGATCCTCGGGACTCCTGGCAGGGTGATCATCTTCAGGCTGACAATTCTTGCCTCCAAGAGTATGCGAGGCTGAAGATGAATCACAGGCCAACGTCTATAGGCTGACCTCAGCACGCACATCCCCTGAGACAGGGCAAGAAATGAAGACAAGAAGCATTTGACCGTATCGGTTTTCCCATTTTTCATAAGAAACATTCAACTTAATAAGAAATAGCCACACTTTATTGACAATAATAGCTACCCTTGCTTTATTTCCTTACCATGTGCCAGGAAACTCTACTTTATCTCCGTTCCTCACAGTAACTGCGAGGCAAGAACTATCACCTTCATTTTAGAGGAAAGGGAGGCTCAGAAAGGTCGTGCAATTAGCCCAACGTTACACAGATAGTAAATGTTAGTCAAGATTCTAACCTGGGTCTGTTTGACTCTGAAATTCATGATTTTTCCACTATGGCTTTCAATTTTTCACATTACTATCAACCTTCAAAGTCTCCAGAACCAACTGCCTAAGTACTCACACACACACACACACACTGTGTACTTTTTTCAATTTAACTTAAAAAACCAGGACACCGAGATCTTGGACGTTGCCACGCACCCAACTCTCTCTCTCTATGCCAGTATCCATAAAATCCAGGAGCTGAATCACACGTGCTGTGAATGAGTAAGTTGCTAAGAGAACACACTATCCCGTCCCCTGTCATTTAAAAAGTGACAAGTCCAGGGTCTCAGGGCTGGGCACGGCTGAGCTGGGATTTGGCCCCAGGCATACTGGCCCCTAGGTATGTCCCTCCCAGTGCACCCTAGCTCGGCTTCCTGGGGTCAGGGCCCGCGATGGTGGGCTCATTTCTGGGTGCTGGGAATACAGAGCTGACAAGGCACATCCCTGGTCCTGAAAGGACCCGAGAGGCTGGTAGAGGGGCCGAGACAGTCCACAGATAACTGAAGTGCATGGCAGAAGGTGTTGTGCACAGGAGAACAAAACTTGATGGCTACTAGGAGGGACAAATCACATCTAGTGGGGGGCAATGGGGCATGATGCCATGCAGGAACCCAGGCTCTGCGTGTATTTGCAAGAAGGTGCTTCCTACCAGCGATTTCGCACCAACAACTCCATGAGGCAGACAAGGTGGAGAGACAGAGGCAACCTGCTCGGGGTGTCACACAGTTAACATGAACTGCTTTGTCTGTCTTCCATCTCATGTCCTCTCCATTACAACAGACTTCAAATGCTGTTCTATGGACCCTTGGCAGGTTGGGAGTCAGGAGAGGCCAGGTAGGTGGGGCTCGAGCCGCTATACAAAGTTCAACTCCAATGGCTCTGTTTTGCATATATATTTGTAGATCGGGTTCTTCATGAGATTCCTTTAAAAAAAAGCTCTGATAACAAAATAGGGTATGAAGACCTGTACTCCCAGGTACTAGGCCAGTGAATGGGGGCAGGTCCTGGAGTTTGGGCAGGGCAGGGAGGGCAGGGGATCCATGCAGAGGGGCAGTGAGGGACAATGGCTAAGCAAGCAGGCTACGTACGCCCCTCACTCTGGAGTGACGCAGCCTGCATTCAAAATCAGGCTCTGCACCTGCCTAGCTTTGAGACCGTAGGCAAGGGGCTCCTGAGCCTTAGCTTCCTCACGTTCAAATCAGGGATCACACTGGTACCTGCTTCATAGGGCTGTTGAGAGGATTATACACTCAAAGATAGTGAAAGCACACGGCACAGTACCTGGCATTTAGCACAGTGTCATTCTTATTAACTTGTTGGAAATAGCGAGGCCAGTCATAGGAGATAAAACAGCAAGAAAATAAATATCATTAAACCACTGAAAGAATTCTCAGGGAAACTAAGAAATCCTCACTGCCCCCGAAGAATTGCTGTGGTTCTGAGCTCTGCCTTGCATTCTCCTGGTCTTGATAAATATGGGCTGTGAATCGGCAGGACACACACCTGAAAGACAAGGGAGGTTTTGCAGCCTCTATCTGCCGAGTTGCAGTTGTGTTCCCACCGCTACTCGTCAGCTGGTTTGGCAAGAAGCTCAACGGAGTCTGGGCTTCGAGTGATGAGGCCAGTCACCCCAATCCCCCAAACTCATTTACTGCCACTGCTCAGAGGAGATGGCCACAGAACCCTAGGTTGTCCCCCTGAGCTCGACTTGGCTCTTGAACCAAAAGGCCTAGAACAGAGGGAGGCAGGTGTACCAGCAGAGCCAAGCCCTCGAGACCTCTTTGACTGGCTAGATGAGGCCTCGCTTGGGCAGAACTCTGCAGGGCACAGAGGAGTCCCAGGTCCCTTTCTAGTTCCTTCCATCAGACTCTGCCAGTGAATTAAGTTGCCAGGGAAGGTTTTGACGCTCACGGGACTTTTGTCTGTTCCGTTCGCAGCTGTATCCCAGTGCAGCACATCCCTGCGAATGAATGAGTGCCCATCATATTTGGGGTGCTCTAGCCGCCACATCTTCACGAGACAAACAGAAGCAATCGGCCACATGGATTCCACGGTCATTCACTGAACAAACCAGCTGTGTGGGATCTTCCCGTCACTGCTCTGCTTTCTATTCCCTGACCTGTCGCCTCAGCTGTTAGCACCACCTCTGAGACTTCGACAGTTTCCCTTTGGGAAGGTCTGACCTTTTCTCTCCTCTTGGAGGAAGAGAGGGTCATTTGTTGCAGAGCAGTGAGCAAGAAGGTCAGCTCGTGCCGAGCACACAACTTGCTCCTTTCATGCTCAGTCTGCCAGAAACGAAAATGTTAGAGCTAGAAGCACCTATGGAAATCACTCCTCACGGAAGAAAAAGAGAAACCAAGCTCACAGAGCTGGCTGCAGGGACGTCGGGGGACTGGGCCTCTACACAGAGCTCTGTATGGCACTTTATCTTGGGCCCTCTCTCTGCCTTGTGTAGGTAAGAAAGTTTTGGAAAGTGCCACTAAATCCTGAATCCTCGTTCTACAATATTAAAAACACAAAATATTCCCACTATGTATATAGAGGCACCCACTGATACAAATTATATATATTTAGATATGGATATATCATATATACACATATTCATAAATGATATTAGAATACATAAAAACTATTCTAAAGGCCCAAATACATTTACTGAGGAGCTTGGATAAGCAACTCCCTTCACTTTAAACCTATTTATTACAGAACAGTGACAACTGAAGGGGGTGGGGGAAAGTCGGAAACTCTGAGTGTGAGAAAGGGGAAATGTATAATTTACAAAAGCATACCCAATATTATTATTGCTTTGATTTTTTTTAGGCACGATATTTAATGTGCTTTGAGCTATCACAGTAAAAGGGGGCAGCGAGACATTACGTTCATCAAAAAGGGAGTGGGGCTTAAGTAGAAAGATTGGGAAAGCCTCTTCTGGGATTCACAGCTTTGGAAATCATCTGGTCCAACTCGCCGTTTAAAGATAAGGAAACTTCTATCCCACGAGGTTAAGTAACTGCCTGTCTGAGGTCAGTAGCTGTTTATGTGTTCCTGAGGTAGCAGTCCCGTGGACTTTATCTGTTCTATGTCCGTGGCACCTACTCTGAAGGGGGGGTCTAGGGTTTGCTGTTGACCTACCAAAGGGAATTTATCACACCAAGGATGTAAAGATACGGAGGGAAAGTAAGTTCCCAAACACAAACAAAAAGCATTCTTGCAGAGAGAGAGAAACTGAACCTGAGGCTGTAAGAACCAGGCATTTCCTGCGGCAGCAGCCCAAGAGCCCCCTGAGTCCCAGCCCCTCTGGGGGTAAACCCCGGGAGACAGTCTGGCCCCCTCTTTCAGGGATGTCGGGCTGCAGGTGCGATTCCTCAAGCCACCGCTCTGCCCTTCTCCTTTGGTCACCTTGGGAGGCCCCTGGCAGGTTGGGCGGATGGCTTCAGTCTGGTCCCATTTCCCTAAACAAGTTGCAGGTTTTCTCTCATTTGCTCTGACAGGGCGGAGCATTTCCGAAGGGGGACTACAGCTCCGAAAATCGTTCCCCTGTGAGCAGAGGCAGAGCGGCAGGAAGAACTTCCCCGCCGCCTCAGGCTGAGGCAGGCACACCGGGGCCGACCCCGGGCCGTCCCGGAGCCAAAGGGGGGCGACGGTGGCGGGAGCGGCGGCTGCGAACGTGTGGCGGGGTGCGGGGGTCCACTTACCGCAGTGCGCCTGGAAAACCTGTGGCTTGACGGCCTGATTGCAGGCACTGCACACTACGAGATAGAAGTCGTCATGTGCGGGATAGTGGCCAAATAAGTGCATATCTGTGGGGGAAATGAAAACACGGTGTTTTGAAAAAAGCAATTAAGTCTCAGAAGGTCTACTGTTTCCTCTCGCAATTTCCTCAAGGACAGGGTTTCAAACGAGACGCGCAGAAAGGCAACGATCTTTACTAAAGGGAACATGGTCTGTGCTAGCGCGGCTCCCAGCTTGCACAGAAGCTGCAGCCTCACGGCCCCCCCCACCCCATGTTGTCGCCCCTGGAGGTGGCCGTTGTAACCCTCGGTGTGGACAGCGCGGGGCGGGGGGGCTGCCCCGAGTCCTGTGCCATGGGGAGTTACCTCGCCCCGAGACAGAGCCCACGTGTTAGCTGGCACCCAATGGGGCTCTAGCTATTTGAGGATGGGGGGCTCCCCCAAACCCATTCCAACTTTAGCAGAGGTCTCTCAGGTGGGTTGGGGGGCAGGAGGCCTGCAAGAGCCACTGCCTGCGTTTCCCCACCACCTGAGGGAGACCTCACAGTCTCCTGGTTACCTGTTCCTCATCTGCCTGATATTTACAGAGCGCCTAAGTGCCAGGCACCGAGCTGGTGCCAGGCCGACGGATGAATGCCAGCGAGGGCCCTGCTCTCCTGGAGCGTCCGGCGGCAGAAGAGAGAAATACTAGACAGATCACCGCACAAGTTAGAATGTGGTTCTCACTGGGGTACGTGCAGGGGGTATTTTGGCTGAGACCTCGGGATGCGTGGGGTTCAACTAAGGCCAGGGGGTGCAGGGAGGAAGGTTCGGGGTCTGCCAAGGTAGGAAGTGTGTCGGAGGAACCTTTTGGCTGGAACAGGAGCACAAGGGGAGAGCCCAGAAGCTGTAAGCCTTGCGGACCAAGTAAGGATTTTGAACGTGACTTTATAAAAACAAGGGAGCTACTGAAGGCTTTTAAGCAAACGAGTGACATGATCAGCTAAACACTGTTAAAAAATCAGGTGTGACCACACACAAAAATAGACTCCAAATGGTTGAAAGACCT